TTGGGTCGTCATGGCTTCAAGGGAGTTCTGGATTTTTGTTCATTTTTTGTGTAGCAGGTTACTAAATGCATGCTCAGGATTTTGTCCATTCAACTTGTTCATTTTCAGTGTTGGGTTTCAGGGTAGTGGACTTGATTCACTTGAATGATCTTTGACTGTTCCATACTTGATAAAGCTTTTCAATTGGGGAATTAATGTCGATCTTTAGTTACTGTTTAGATGTTTTCCCGGTATTGCTAGCAATTCAAAAGCAGAAGAATCTTCAAATTGTGAACACTGATATATGTTTTGCATTAGGTTCAGTCAGCCTTCAATATAGAGGGAGGCCAAGAAAAAGCAAATGGAACATTGAAAAAGCTGATACGGGAGAGGAGAATTGGTGTATTAGGGTGTACTAAGGGTATTTTTGGTAGTTAAATAAGGTATACTTAGTTGATTTTATATTTTGATTTAAATATTAAGGTATACTTAGATTATAAAGTATACTTAATTAATTTTAGATTCCGTTTAGCAAACTCTATATTATTGATAAAATAGAATTACAATCTTTGAATGAAGAATTTTGTAGGAACTTCTAGAAGTTCCTCAAACTAATTATAAGCATTTATGTATAAGACAAAACAAGTCAAACAATGAGCTAATATCCATTAGAAAAATTGTGAAGATAAATAACACCACCTACAAGGGCGGAATCAAGAATTTTTCAACGGATGGGCTAGCTAAAGTTATTAGCTTAAAATTTAATGATCATTTTTTTGGTACTTACAATTTCTATAGTTTTTCTAGAAATAAAAGTAAACATTAAATCATATAAACCATGCTAGTTCATAGCTCTAACCAGGAATTTTTCAACGGATGGGCTAGCTAAAGTTATTAGCTTAAAATTTAATGATCATTTTTTTGGTACTTACAATTTCTATAGTCTTTTTAGAAATAAAAGTAAACATTAAATCATATAAACCATGCTAGTTCATAGCTCTATAAACTAATTTTCAATAAGTTTTAACATAAACCAAATAGGGTTTAACACCATAGTGGATTGAACATCTAAGGCTTTTTACCTAGATTGACCTTAGGTTCCTTTATGCATTCATATCCCCAAAAATCTTACAACTTTACAAAAAGTAAATAAAACTCTATCACTCTCATCTGGTTTAGTTCTTGTCTTGCTCACTAATTCATCTGAAAAATTAAACAGAGTGAGGGATGAGCAACCACCGCTCAGGAAGACATTGAACAAGTATCATCAGCATAAAACTCATTGTCAATCGACACCACTCCATTTAACTCATCAATTTCAAGCTCTTTGAGTAAGGGTAGCTGTTCCACTGGTGGCAGGAGTAAAATATTTTCACATCGCTTGAGTCGAAGACAAACAAGATTAGAGGAACAATGTACTAGCCACCTCGAAAAGCTAGTGCTCCCATAAGAACAAATTGTGAGTTCTTTTAGGTTTGTATGGGGCTGGAGGTTCAAGGGCGGAACTAGGAATTTTTCAACGGGTGGGCTAGCTAAAGTTATTAGCTTAAAATTTAATGATTATTTTTTTTGGTACTTACAATTTCTATAGTCTTTTTAGAAATAAAAGTAAACATTAAATCATATAAACCATGCTAGTTCATAGCTCTATAAACTAATTTTCAATAAGTTTTAACATAAACCAAATAGGGTTTAACACCATAGTGGATTGAACATCTAAGGCTTTTTACCTAGATTGACCTTAGGTTCCTTTATGCATTCATATCATACATGAAAAATTGTTTTATGTAAAAATATTGACTAAGTATGAAAAAAGGGTTTTCGGAATAATCATTTTCTGAAGATAATTTTTGCCGGCTTTTATTCCTCACACATCAAATAAGAAAACTTGATTTTATGGGATTTTAGTATGAAGTATATATTGACTTAATGAGCCATCATTTTTAGCCTAAATCGTATTTTGCACTAAAATCATTTTTTCATAATTTGATTTGGTTGGAATTTGATTTTCTAGTATTTTTATTTGAATCCAAATGGGTGGTACTTCCTTATTTACATTGTAAACTTAAGTAAATGGAGTAATATAAAAATAAATAAAAGTAAAATAACAAAGACATTTACTTAAATGTTGAAAATAGAAATAAGGTAATCTGTACACCGCCACTGACTAGGCTAATATTGAAAATAAGTTAAATATATAGGTTTCATATTTTTTTCTTAAAATTAATTGGTGGTGAAATTCAAAATATCACTATTGCAAAGTTTTTATCATTTAATGTGAGATATTTTCAATATGTTCATTTTTTGTGCCTAACATATAGACAATTTTTATTTGATGACATAATAGCATGTAAGGTTGTTGAGCCTACCACATAAATCATTTTATATATTAAAATGTGAGCATCCAACCCAAAGCAAATTGAAAATTGAAAAAGGACCCAAAATCTTTTAAACAGTTGCATAGCTTCCATACTACACTCCAGTCAATGAGGAGCACGATTATTATTATTTTTTTGGTGAAATAAGGGAAACCTCCATAAAACAACTAAACCTCGCACATGAGTCGAGGCCTAGCAAGACCAAGTAAGTCATCCATCAACAGATAGCTAACCCAAACAGGAGCCTCATCAAAGAAGCAAATTCCCAAGTCCAGATTATAACTCCAATTTGCCAAACAATCCGCAACACAATTCTTTTCCCTGTAAATGTGGACAAGGTGACAATTTCCAATTTGTCTCATGAGATCACAACAACTATGCACCAAAGTAGCAAGAGGATGGCATTGCAATGAATTGATTTGTTGAACAAGCGAGACAACAACAGCATCATCCATTTCAATAGCAAAGTTAGTGACACCTTTCTCAACAGCAAGCTTTAGACCAAAATATAGGCCCCAAACCTCAGCCTCTAGGATATGACCTTGGCCCAAATACACAGCAAACCCGGCAATCCAGTCACCTGAGGAGTCACGGATAACACCTCCTGCTCCAATAATATTAGCGGCAGCCCTTCTAGAACCATCCACATTCAGCTTAAGTTGACCAATTGTAGGAGGTTCCCAAGCCAAAAAAATAAGTACTCTATCAGGTTTCTTGCCAAAACCATTAGCGGCTTTAACCCACTCAACAATCGCAGTAAAGATGGTTTTCCTAGGATTAAAAGGCAAATCCACTTCAATGTTAAAAATTTGCTTGTTACGCCAATTCTAGATATACCAACAAGTAAGGGCAAAAATAATATTCCAACCAATACCATCAGGTCCTTTAACCTTAGAGAGCAAGTTACCTAGGAACCAAGGTTTTAGCTCAGATAGGAAGAAGTGAGGAGATGAATGTAAATTTACAACAGAATTCCATACCATCCTAGCCCTGGGACAGTCCCTAAGAATATGAATAACGGATTCAGTTTGCCAACCACACAGAAGACAAGAAGGATCAGAAGTTAGATTCCTCTTGGTTCTTTGCTCATTGGACAAGATTTTACCTTGATAAGCCAACCAAATGAATATATGAATTTTGAGAGGGATTTTCATTCTCCATAAGTCATTCCAAAAGGGATCAACATCTCCCAATTCTTTAAAAAAAATAGAGTATGCAGATTTAACAGAGAATAAGAGCACGATTATTTTAAAGAAATAGTAAGTTAAAAAGAAAATACTTGTCGGTTAGTTAGTCAGTTAATTAATGTATATTGAAAGCAACAACAAAGGTTATCTGAATATAATAACTTGACCCAATCAAAGCAACTACACAGAAAAGGTATATCTCAATCATTTTTTAAAATAATGTTCGAATCTTCTAGGATTAACTTATGGGAGGGAATTTTTTTTTTTTTTTTTGGGTCAATTGCCTACAAACCATTATTCAATTAAACAATTATCTAATTAAACATCCAATTGATGTAATTAATTTCCAGACATTAAACAGTTGATTTCGATGTGTTTGGTTTTGTTCATGATAAATCAGATTTGTTGCTATGTACATGGCAGCTTTGTTGTCGCAGTAATGTATACTGGGAAAATAATGTGATATACCAAAGTTTGGTAAAAGATATCGTAGCCATTGCAGCTCACAAGTGGCTACAGCCATGACCCTATATACTCAGGCCGACTTCTGAAGAAGATCTAGAGACAATGGGCTGTTTTTTTGTTTTCCATGAAACTGGACTTGTACCAAGAAACACACAATAGCCGGTGGTTGATCTTTTTGTCATGGGACAACTTGCCCAATTTGAATCACAAAAATCTCATAACTGTAATTCATTATGGAATGGCAACAGGTGATACTTTTAAGAAATGAACTAAACGTGTACCAACTTTCATATGTGGTTGACGTGGCTGATGCATATTGGCTGAGAATATTAATTGCAAAAATAATATATGGCCTTGTAACCGTTAGATAAATATAAGTCTTCGTATCAAATGGAGATATAGGCTGGGTTGTTCAGAATATTGCTATCAATATTGTTTAGTTTCAAATTTTCTTCCATGAGAAAAGGCTCGAGCTTAGCTCTCAATAAAACCATGTCTTTGATAATATCTAAAGCATACTATGGATTCAAACAAATCCCTTTTCTTGATCTTGAGACCTCAATCCCAAGAATATATTTGAGATTACCCAAATCTTTTAACTTGAATTGCTGATGTAGGAAGTTCTTAAGCTTGGAAATCTCCTTGGCATTTCAAACTGTGATAATTACATCATCGACATACACATACACACTAATATAAACACCGAAGAGGTACTTTTGTGTTTATGAAAAAGAGAGTAGTCGGCTTTGAATTGAGTATAACCAACTTCAAGAATGGCTTGTGAAAATTTAGCAAACCATTGCCTAGTGTTAGCATACAACCCAAACCACCAGATTGTAACTCATGAGTCATTACATTTAGTCACGTGTCTTTTAGTCACCATTTCAGTCACGTGTATGTTAGTTAATGAGCTGGCAGGTTGTTAGGTTTGTTAATTAGTTTGTTAACTTAATTTACGTGTTAGTCAGCTAGAATATATAAGTCTTGTATTGTAAGCTCTAAAGTCAAATTAATAAGAAAATCAGCTTTACCATATCCCTCTCTCTCGTTCTGTTTCTATTGATCTCTCTCGATTCTTCTAAGATCTCAAAGCTTGGTTAAGGTCATCAATGGCTTCCATGAAGAAAGCTTTCATGGCATGAGAGCTTTAACTCTGCATATCGTGATCGATCTCTCTCCGCTGCTCATTTCTTTGCTTCGTTTCTCTCTGAGAAATCATATGAGGTTCTGCTTTCTTCCAAGTCATTTCGTAATCTGTCTTCGTTTGTCGTAGCTTGTTGTTTCTGATCAAATTGATCTTGCAATTGAGTATTCTTGCTTCGATTCTTTCTGAACACAACCTGAATTTCTGATTTCTTTTGGTGTGTGTCTCTCAACCCTAGTCTTTTTTGAAAATGGGGAAAACCTTTGTTACACCTATTGATTTGCTTCATAATGCCTCCAATTATATTACTCTGAAGTTGGATGACATGAATTATATGCAATGGAGTTATCAGGTTGAGAAGTTTCTTAAGGTTTATCGGCTTTCTGGCTTTCTTGATGGCACAGTTAAGGTGCCTATTGATCCTGATGGAGACGATTATCTCGAATGGGAAGCAATGGATACTGCAATTTTAAACATAATTGATGCAAGTCTCTCAGATGATGCTTTTTCTAAGATGATGAATTGTAAGTCTGCTACATAGGCCTGGACTACACTGCGAGATCGTTATTCTTCGATTTTTGAGCTTAAGATCATGCATCTTAAGAATAATTTGGATGGATTGCAAAAAGGCACTGACTCTGTGGAAGTGTATTGGAAGAAGGTTCGTGCCGCTTGACAACAACTATCAACTGCTGGTCATCCTATTTCAGATCAGGATATGATTTTGCTTCTTCTCAAAGGCTTACCTATGGAATACAATCACTTCAAGTCTCATATCCGTGCTAGACCAGTTCGTATTACTCTTCCAGAGCTGCGTGATCTACTCCTAGAGGAAGAGATTGATTTGGATGCTGCTACTAAGTCCTTTACTCCCCCAATTATGACTGCTATGGTTGCTCAAAAAGGCACAGTTAACTCCTCCTCACCACCTGTTGCTCATGGTGATAATTTTCATTCTGGTTCTGTTGATCGGGGAGGTGGTAATCCAAACTGGCAATCTCACTGGAATAGACGTCCAAACTATCGTGGTCATGGGTCTTGGTCTCCAGGCCGATCATGGAATAATGGAGGGCGAGGAAATTCTTGGCATAATGGTGGGTCATGGCATAATGGCAACAACCCTGATACTATCTGGAATGGTTCAACCAATCAATGGAATCATGGTGGTCAGTCTGGAAATTCTCATGGTCAATGGAATCAAGGTTCTGGTCCATGGCATAACAATGCTGGTTCATGGCATCATAATAGTGGACCATGGCATTAAGGGAGTAACTCAGGGTCAGCACCTCAATATTTTGTTTCTCCAAACTCCAGCCCTGGTGTTTTGTCACCTTCTCCTACAGCTCCACCAGTTCCATCAGCTCAATCTACTCTAACTACTGACACATGCCAAATCTGCCTTCACTTTGGTCATACAGCTCCAAATTGCCCACATCGAGCTAATTTCTCCTATCAAGGCATGCCTCCCTCTCCAACCCTCACAACTCTTACTACAACTATTAGTGGTTCATTCTCGGATCCAAACATCTGGTTAATAGACAGTGGTGCTACAAATCACATGACTTCATATCTTCGACTTCTCTCCAACATCACTCCTTCAACCTCCACTGATAATGTTACTATGGGTAATGGTACTGGACTCAGTATTGTTAATGTTGGAAGCTCTTCTCTTGTCTCATGTCATCAAGTCTTTAATCTCCCTGAGGTTTTACATGTTCCTAATCTGGCCACTAATCTACTATATGTTCATCAATTTTGTCTTGATAATCACTGCCAGATTTTATATAATGCCTTGTGGTTCTAAATTCAGGATCTGAAGGGGCAAATTCTGTATCAAGGCAAGTGCAGTAATGGTCTTTATCCACTACCAACAAGAATCCCTCCCATTTTACCTCACTTGGCTGCTTTTCATGGACGAAAAGTTTGTCATACTTTGGGGCACTATAGATTAGGCCATCCATCTCATGATATTACCAATTCTATGTTAGCTAAAGCTCAAATTCCTCTTTCTCCTAGTTCACCACATGTATGCAGTTTTTGTTTGCAAGGGAAGATGTGCAAACAACCATTTCCATCTTCACATGTTGTGTCTCAAATTCCTTTTGAAGTGATACACTCGGATGTATGGGGTCCTACTCCTTATTCCTCTTTGCAAGGTCACAAGTACTATGTACTTTTTCTTGATGAGTGCTGTTTCCTTTAATAAAGAAATCAGATTGTTTCTCTACTTTTGTTCATTTTCTTGCCTATGTTCAAAATCAGTTTGCCACTTCCATTAAAACTTTCCAAACTGATGGTGGGGGTGAATATGTCAGCACAGAATTTCAGACCTTTATTAGTTCCAAAGGCATCTTACATCATAAGTCTTGTCCTTATACCCCTGAGCAAAATGGAAGGGCTGAAAGGAAACATCGACATTTAGTTGAAACAACTGTTACACTTCTCACTACAACTGCTCTTCCATCCAAATATCTCTTCCATGCTTTATCCACAGCCAATTATCTTATTAATAGAATGCCCTGCAAGAATTTACGTATGCAATCTCCTTTCTCTAAACTGTTTCATAAAGAACCAGATATTACTCTGTTGAAGGTATTTGGCTGTGCATGTTATCCTCTATTACGACCCTATACTCAATCTAAGGTGCAACCTAGGTATGAACAATGTATCTTTTTGGGATATACTTTGGATTATAAAGGCTATCTCTGTCTAGCTCCCAAAACTAATCGCATTTACATCTCTCGACATGTTATCTTTGATGAGGTCTGCTTTCCTTTTAAGAGTGCTTCTTGTTCCTCAGTTCCTACTAAACCACCAGATTTAACATCCTCTATACCTTATCTACTCTCTTCACCTTTATGTGTTACTCATAGACTTGATGGTTTTCCAGCGGCTACTTCTTCTACTAACACATTAGCAAGTCCAGTACCTACTGCAAGGGAAATTGCTTCTTCTGTTGATGTTACTAATCCTTCTACTGAGTTTGTACAGGCTTAGCCACCAGACTTTCATCAGGTACAAGAAGCATCTTTCACTCCACCAGTTAATTCTCATCCTATGCAGACTCGTTCTAAGTCTGGGATTCTCAAGTATCGACATGGTTTCTTGGTTGCCAAACCACCAGTTGCTCCATCTCCTCTCTATGAACCACACACTTATTCCCAGGCTGCCAAGGTTCCAGAATGGAAGGCTGTTATGGAAGATGAGTTTCAGGCTCTTCAAAAACAACATACTTTAACTCTTGTTCCTTATCACCATTCCATGAATATTGTTGGTTGTAAATGGCTGTTCAAACTCAAGAAAAATGCTGATGGTTCCATCTCTCGACACAAAGCTCGGTTGGTTGCCAAAGGGTTTCATCAAGAGGCTGGCCTTGATTATGATGAGACATTCAGTCCTGTTGTCAAGCACTCTACAGTTTGATTGATCCTTGCTTTAGCTGCTCAGTATCATTGGTCTGTTAAACAACTTGACGTGAAGAATGCTTTTCTTCATGGTGTTCTTCATGAGGAAGTTTTTATGCAACAACCTTCAGGTTTTGAAGATTCTGCTCAACCTCATCATGTATGCCGGTTATTAAAGTCTCTTTATGGGTTAAAACAAGCTCCTCGAGCTTGGAATGAACGGTTCACTACTCATTTGCTCACTCTTGGTTTTGTTCAATCCTTGGCTGATACATCTCTCTTTGTTCGTGCCTCTGGGAGTGATATGCTTGTTCTTCTCTTGTATGTCAATGATATTCTCTTGACTGGGAATAATAGTGTCTTGATTCAGTAGACCATTACAGCTCTAAGCCATGAGTTTGATATGAAGGATCTCGGCCGATTAACCTATTTTTTGGGTCTTCAAGTTCAGTATACCTCTAAAGGTATTCATGTTAACCAATCTAAATATGCTACTAATCTTCTCCTTAAGGCTGGTATGACTCAATGCAAGCCTTGTTTTACACCCTGCTTACCTACTACCAAGTTACTAAAGTTTGATGAACACCTTTATCTGATCCTACCCTTTATCGAAGTTTAGTAGGAGGACTTCAGTATCTTACCTTCAGCAGGCTTGACATTGCATTTGCCGTGAACACTCTTCGCCAGTTTATGCATGTACCCACCGATACACATTTTGCTGCAGTCAAACGTGTGCTACGATACTTGGCTGGTACTCTGACCATGGCATTCATTTTACCTCTGGTGATGTTCATTTGCAAGCCTACTCCGATGCAGACTGGGTGGGTGATGTCAATGATCGTTGTTCCACAACAGGGTATGTTGTTTTTCTTGGTAATAATCCAATTGCTTGGTGTGCTAAGAAGCAGGGTACAGTTTCTCGTTCCTCAACAGAGGCTGAATATAGAGCTCTTGCTATCACAGCTGCTGAGTTGTCCTGGCTACGTCAACTCCTCCGCGATCTTCATGTGTTTCTTGATTGTCCACTTGTTCTTTGGTGTGACAATATTTAAGCATTGGCTCTTGCTAGCAATCCTGTGTTTCACGCTCGCACTAAGCATATCGAAATTGATTTTCACTTTATCCATGAGCGTATTACACGGGGTGATATGCTGGTTTCTCATATCCCTAGTAGCAATCAATTGGCTGATATATTTACTAAAGGTCTCCATACTTCTCAGTTTTCTTATCTTCGCAACAATCTAATGCTTAGTCCTCCAAGCATTAGCTTGAGGGGGGATGTTAGCATACAACCCAAACCACCAGATTGTAACTCATGAGTCATTACATTTAGTCACGGCTACTTGAGTCCGTATAGCGATTTGTGTAACTTGAAAACAAGATTCTCCCCCTTACGGACATAAGCAGGCGGAGGATATATCTAGGCTTCTTCATGTAAGTCCCATGCAATGAGGATTAAATTACATAACTAAGATGTGTGTATTAAAAATCCACTCAATATGCATCTTAGTCTTTCTTTTCTTTTTTTCATCTCAAGCTTTCATAGTTATAATCTAATGGTTGAGTAACAATTACTCCTTACACTACTAGAAAAAGGGTTTTTGTTTATTATTATTATTATTATTATTATTATTATTATTATTATACAATCTCATATGTAATGTGCAGTTTTGGATGGAAAATTCATATAGCATAAAGAAGCAACCCAAATGTGTGTGTATCCTCTCTCGTTTGTTTTTTGGTTCATGTCAATAGAAATAAAACCAATTGATATAATGACGGGTTTCTTGTTGAAGATCAGTTGGGTGGTTGCATTTGGCGAAAATAGTAACCATTTCTATATTTCTGTATGAAGTATCAGCCATATAGAAAATTTGGTAGAGTGGAGTCCTTGTACGAAAGTGCTTCAAGGGTAATAAAGGAATAATTCTCAAGAATATTATGCCAAAATTATTGTTTGCTCCATATGATATTGATCATGAATTCCATGTTGGAAATCATATCTTGTAATTGAAGGATTGTAAATATTGTAATTGTCTTTCCTATATTAGACCCCAAGATTTATGGGTCAAACCTAGATTGTAGCCTTAATTAGGAATTATGCTAGAATAGGAGATTGTAAACCTAGTATATAAAGGATAGTATTATGTACAGCAGAATATCAATAACAGAATGATTATTCCATCTCATTTAAAATATTTTTGAAGATATTTTTCTTTTTCAATCCCATGAACACACCCCACCCAGCTCTGTCTACCGCGCAGATCTCACGGCCTGGGTTTCCGGGACGAGGGGATATGCGTTGACACGCCGCTTCCTGCTTTTGAGTGCGGTGCGTTTGTGCGCGGGCGTGCCAGCACGGTCTACCGTGCGTCGAGATGATTGATGTGGATAGAATGGTTAAGTGGTGCGCCTGTTTGGGCTCGTCTTCTAATCAAACGATTGTAGCCGAGAGAGGAACTAATCTCGGCTGTTAGGTTCACGGCCTGAGCTACAAGGCCGTTCAGTGATGGTGTTTGTGGGTTTTGGGCGGTGCTCCGGCACGCTGCTCAGGGAGCGACGGTCGTATGATATATGGGGTGAATGATCGAATAACAAGGATGATGCTCCGGCGCCTTGAAAATCAAGGGTCGTATGATATATTGATGAATGAATTTTCCTTACAGTCTAACACTACTCATAGGAAAACAAGTAAAGATATTGAAAGTGCATTACAGGAAAATATAAGTTGCTCCGTGGAAGGCTTTGGTTTGGTGTTTGAACCTCTTGAAAGTAGTCTTGAGCCTTGTATTTATAGGAAGAGTTCCTGGAGGAGTAATCGAGGCTGAAATCCTGCATAGTGGAGTTTGATTAGAGCAAGTGGGTAGTCCAATCGACATTTGGGACCGTGAAGTATGGTGGTGTGACCCCATAAATCTTGGTGAATCCCGGCCGCCGCCCTGATCGTAGGTTCTGCGCCTCTGGCCGTGGAGACGCATTTATTATTCTGATAGCTGGTGAGCTAATCTCTCAAGCTGCAAGAATTCTTGTGAGAATGTCCACGTCTAATCACTCTGTTTCCTGTCGCCACAACCTGACTTCAGTCACTTCCCACCTTCCCTCATGCATTAAATGCTTATTCGTGGCCAGTGGGTTTGCTGCAATAAACAGAGGCATTACTTCATTAAATGAAGTATGGGACCCTGCTACCACGTGACGATTTGATTCTGATATCTCTGGCCGTGATTTTGCTCGGCCTCGGCCTCGGCTTACAATCAAGGCCGAGATGATCATGCCTTGGCAACTTTTCCGTTGTTTTCAGTAAGGCAAAACACCTTGGCGAAACGCTGCGCTTTAGCTTCTCGAGGAAGTGCTTGGGCCGAGAAAAGGGGCTCCTTCAGCCAGTTCATGGCCGTGATTTATTAGGCACAAACAAGCTCTCTCACCCAACCAGTTTTACCTATACCATATCCAGATGATACATTTTTTCCCCCACCTAGTCCCACTCCATCACCTACGCCTGCACAAATCCATCTACCTGATCCCACTACACCTACACAAAGCCATCTACCCGATCCCACTCCACTTTTACAAACCCACCCTCCCGGACCCACTCCACCACCTGGTTCTCCCATTCTAACCTCTAGCCCATTGTCCCCAACCCATGCTGGGCCTCCTTCTCATCACAACCTTAATGTGCCCATAGATGCAGTCCCCCCATTTATTGCTGACCTAATTCCTCCTTCTCCGCTTGATGCCCCGAACCAATCACCTCCATGACACTCCACTCGTTCGACGCACCCACCGCGTTGGCAAATGATTATTTTATGGGCTTCTCTTCTACCTCCCCTGACTCGTCATCCTCCTCGGGGCCAACCCCTTCTTCAGGTACTCGTCATCCTTTATCTAATTTTATTTCCTATAATCGTCTTTCTCCTTCGCATCGTGCTTTTCTTGCTAACGTTTCAGGAACCTGTGAGGCTACTAATTATGCTCAAGCTGCTTCTGATCCCCATTGGCAACTTGCTATGAAAGCCGAGTTGGATGCATTGCAACTCAATCGTACTTGGACACTTGTTCTTTTACCGCTTGGTGATCGGTTCATAATTGTATATTATTTCTTACCCTTCTAGCTTATGATTTGGTTATGTTTTTGAGTTAAACTTGTGCTTTTAATCCTTTTTGTGTTTATCTTTCAGTT